GCCTCCCCATAGCTGGAGCTACAGGCTCCTTCCTGCCACAACACTTGGCCAGTTTTCTATTTTTCGTAGAGATGAGGTCTGGCTGTTGCTCAGGCTGGTCTCGAACTCCTGAGCTCAACCGATCCTCCCACCTTGGCCTCCCAGAGTCCTGGGATTTCAGGCATGAGCCACCGCACCAGCCTTCCAATATTCTAATGTTTGAAATAAATGAGTTTAACTAAAAAGTGAATGATGGAGAGTAACAGACTATTGCAGCAGACAGTAACCTTTTAGCAATCTGTATGTTTAGGCTTCTTAAAGAGTCGTGTACTGCTGACCTTACGAAGATTGCCTTCCCCACGGTTTAAGTCTCTTGCTGTCATGCTAATCTGGAGGTAGCCATTTCCCCACCAACACCCCCTATTCCCGAAACCTTTCTGATATTGTCCAAAAAGGCAGGTGCTTTCTACAACCCAAAGAAATCTAAAATCTACACAGGTATGGGCAGTGGGAAAGCACTGAGGGATTTTAGAAGAGGGATCAAAATAATGTTTTAGAACTTTAGTGAGGTATCAGTGTCACAGGAGACACACCCATTCAGGATGTTCCGCGCAAGTCTGTAACCAGAATTACAATGTTAAGAATAGAAGAGGACGGGCCAAATACCCTTAAGCAGTGATTCAACTAAACCTCGAAAAGCATCAACAGTGTGGACCAAAGCATGAGGCAAGAAAAGGCCCCTCTCACCCCTTCTCCCTTCCCTGTTCCCCAGAATTCCTATGAGGATTTGGTGGTTGCAACCATTTCCTTTTTCTTAACTCGCTTGCTCTTTCTAGACACCAGACCAAATTCTCCTCTGCTAATCTATTAAAATACCGTGATAAATTAAAATAATAAATAATAAATTCTGCTTGTGAAAAACAAATAAATTGCTCGACTAGGTGTGCCTACCCTCTGGGCTGGCGTTGCAGTGGGAGACTACGTGTTTTAGTGGTAATAATTCCAAGTATATCACCATTCAAATTCTGAACGATTCAAACACTGCAATGACAGGATGTTTAATAGCTTCTTTCTACCAACTGAAATTATGCAGTGATCACGTGTTTACCAGTGCTTACAATGAAAATATACCGAGGAAACCAAAAGTACAGCTCAATAGTTTTCAACCCTTTGATCAATTATGCTTGTTGCTCAGAAACCTATCCCCATAATTAGGTTCTTTTAAAAAGGAAAATGAACCCGAGCAGTGGCACCCACCTGTAATCCTAGCACTCTGGGAGACCAAGGCTTGAAGATCCCTTGAGCTCAGGAGTTCAAAACCAACCTGAGCAAGAGCGAGACCCCTTCTCTACTAAAAATACAAGAATGAGATGGATGTTGTGGCAGACACCTGTAGTCCCAGCTACTCAGGAGGCTGAGGCAGGAGGATTGCTTAAGCCCAGGAGCTTGAGGTTGCAGTGAGGGAAGCTGACACCAGGGCACTTTCACCTGGACAACAGAGTGAGACTCTGTCTCAAATAAGTAAATAAAAGCAATATGAATTTATTTATTTATTTATTTTTGAGAGAGAGGCAGGGTCTTGCCCTCTCACTCAGGCTGGAATGTGGTGGCACCATCATACTTCACTGCAACCTTAAACTCCAGGACTCAAGATCTTCCTGCCTCAGTCTCCCCGAGTGCTGAGATTACAGGTGTGAGCCACCCTGACCCACCATCTACACTGTTTTCCAGAATATTAAGAGGGTACAGAAGTTGTGGTTACATGGATACCCTGTATAATGTCAAAGTCGGGGCTTTCAGCGTCCACTCGGCAGAACACTCCTCAGTGTGCCTAGCAGGTAAGTTTCTATCCTCACTCCCCTTCTTGGTTCCCAATGTCTTTTACGTAGGTCATTATGAAAGTTCTGAGATACACAGAAATCAAGAAACATAAAATCCACAGAGATGGAAACAAACGAAGCCCTCCCAGCAACATCAATAAGCCAGGAGAGTTGAAACCTGCACAGGTGAATCAGAAAGGGCGCTGTTGACTGTTTCTTGGAAGTGAAATAATGGAGCATAACATAGTCTGTCTCAAAACTTTCATAGAGACCCCCTACATCGCTTTGTGCCGGTAAACACCCCTCATTTAGCTCCCACTTATTAGTGAGAGCGAGAGGTGTTTGTTTATCCATTCCTGAGGCACTTCCGTTAGGATAATGGTCTCCAGGTCCACCCAAGTTGCTGCAAAGACATTTCACTCCTTTTTGGTTGAGTAGTTTCACGGCATACACAGCATATACCACATTTTCTTTATCCACACAGCAACTGAAGGGCACTTAGCCTATCTACTCTTTATTTTTTAGGTTTTTGTTTCTGTTTCTGTTTTTAGACAGTCTCACTCTGTCACTGGGGCTAGACTGCCTCAAGCTCCTGGATTCGAGCGATCCTCCTGCCTCAGTCTCCACAGTAGCTGTGACTACAGGTGTCTCCATGATGCCCAGCTAACTTTTCTTTTTCTTTTTCTCCAAAAAGCTTTATTTCCATTTGGTTCAAGGCTTGGGAGAGGACCCCAGGGTGGTTAAAATGCAGCCTTGTGGCTGGAGGGTGAGGCTCCAGCAGAACCCTGACACTTTGAAGAGGGCTCCTCAGGCTCCTTAGTCCAGCTTGAGAGTGAGAGCCTGGGGCAGCCAGCCTATGGAGGGCAGTCAGGTGGCGGCCCAACTCCTTGATGAGTCTGCCTTCCTCATCTAGGAAGTGACTGCCCAGGAGGTCACAGAGATGGAGATCATGTGAACAGAACCCAGTGCAGGAAGGTCCAAGGGAGCCTGCATCAGGCTCTTCCCCAGGGCCAGGTGGCTTCCACTGCACCCAGGGCTGCTCCCCACTCATCTTGGTCCAGGGTCACTCCCCATTCATCTTGGTCCAGGGTTGCTCCCCACTCATCTCACGTCCAGGGCTGCTCCCCATTAATCTTGGTCCACGGTCACTCCCCACTCATCTTGGTCGAGGGCCGCTCCCTACTCATCTCAGGTCCAGGGCCTCTCCCCACTCATCTCTCCTCCACGGTCGCTCTCTACTCATCCTGGTCCAGGGTGGCTATTTCTTTGTTGTTGTTGTCACTGTTGCTTTAGCTGGCACAGTGGCTCACCCCTGTAATCCTAGCACTCTGGGAGGTCGAGGTGGGTGGATTGCCTGAGCCCACAGTCCATGACCAGCCCATGGATCATGCTACAAAACATTAGAAAAACTATGGCTTCTTTGAGAAAGGAGAGCAGTGTAGTACCCTTGTAAAGCAAGTAACAGGGAAGAGCAAAGGGCGGCTGCTCATGGAGTAGAGGAGGCACCATACATCCGTCTTGGTCCAAAACAAACAAGGTACTGCTTCCACTAAAGTGCCCCTGAATTGTTCATTTATGTCAATTTCACCCCAATTTATTAAAAATAGTAAACCTAGTAAACTTCCTAAATGCATCTTATGTATAAACACTCAATATTTAACACTGCTTTGCCCTCAACCAATCTTAATTTTTTTTAATCTTGCTTTTCTCACAATAAAGTAAGTACTGTTCATCAAAAGAGAAGTTACTGTGGTGCTAGTCGTAGAGTGGGTACCAGGACAGTACAAAAAGATACAGTGTAAGAATATGCCTGCCTGCCTTCAAAGAGCTTATAGTAAAGGTGGGTGGAGTGATTTTAAAAAAAGAAAAAACGGCAACAAGTCAAAAACAAAGGCCACCATATAGTCATGAACGGTTTTGTTGTTTTTAATGAAGGTAAGTACTGTTGAGTTTAAACAAAACTTTGGCAGTGATGAGCAGGGCAGGATTTAAGCAGGCAAAAGAGCAGAATTAGGGCAGAGGGCAGAGCTGGGTGGGTCTCATTACAAGTTTAATCCCTGATGACAGCACAAAGCCACCCCTCCTCGTGCTTAAGTGTACACATACATTGAAAACGGACTGGAATCCAATTTATCCAGCAAGCAAGGCTAAAGCACACCACAAAATTCAACAGTGCTGTGTTTGTCTGCCTGGTAGGCAGACGGTGACTATTCTGTTTCCCTCAGAATAACTATTACCCAGCTACAGACTAAACAATACTTAATAAAAGCTGGCTCCGGGCTGGAAAACTACACACCACGGACCCTCGCCCAAACTGGCCTGGTAACGCCTTTGGGGTGCACCCGGGACGCAGGGTGGCAGGGGCAAGACTCCGCCCCGGTCACCCCCGCACGGTGTCTGCTGGACAGATCCATACAGGCCACCCCGGCACTCCCGTAGCCGGCCCCCTCCCCGTCTCAGCGACGCCATCTAGTAAATACAGGTCTCGGACCTGCAATCAATAGCAAGCAGGCAGCGCGGCCTCCACCGTAGCTGGGAGCCCTCTCGGATAGAGCCCCGCGCCGTGCGCACCCGCTGCCCGCCCGCGGCCGGCCGGCCCCGAGACCCGGGCCGCGCCGCCACCCCCCGCGCCGGCCCCTGGCACCCGGACGGCGGAGACCGGTCCGCAGCATCCCGAGCGCCCGCCCAACCGCCGCCACCGCCGCAGCAGCGCGCAGGCCGCCCAACTGCCGTCCCGGCCCAACCAACGCGGGCAGGGGAGGAGAGGTGCGCGCGGCCGGCGGAGCGTGCGAGCCACTCGGGGGTCGCAGGGGGGAGGCTGCGCGTGGGGAAGCCAGGGGCGAGGAGGCGACGAAGCCATCGCTGAACGTTGCGCCAGGAGGGCCTGCTGGAGGGGGTCTTGCCCCTTTCCCCTTAGAAGGTGCAGATGGTTTGACCCCCCACCCCGAGTGAGGTGCCTTGTCCCAGCCCCGGCTGGACTGTACCATCGGGCGGTGCCGCCGGGATTTCTCCCCCCCACCACTACCATCAATTCCCCCCCCCACCCGGGTCCGCGGTCGGTTGGCCCCGGCCGGGCTCTCAGACGCGGAAAGAGCTGGGCGCCATTTTGGGTGGGACTAAGCAAAGACGAAACACCCTCCCAGTCTATGGGGTACTCTGGACCATGGCTTATCCGGTTCCCTTAATCCTTTAGGTACTTACACGACGTTGGGTGAGGGGAGCTGGAAGATCAGCGGGTCCCCGATCCTCTCTCCCTAGGGGTGATAGAAATCAAACCCCCCCGCCACCTCCAGGTGGTTCTTCCCGCCGCAGAGTGGGAGCAGCATAAAAGGCGGGGCCTTATTAGCATAATCTGCCTGGCAACCTGATCTCGACGTCATATGATTGGTTAAACTCTGTAAGCCGCATGCCGTGCCTAAAGACGAGAAACGCAGGGGCGAACTGACAGGCCCAGATTTAAGAGTCATGACGAAGATCCTGAAACGCTTATTCAGTCAGCAGAGAAGCCAAAAGGAGATTCACACAATGGCCCAATGACTGAAGACCTCTTTATTTCGTGCGCTGCTGTTCATGTAAAATCCAATCGAAGAGCGGGTCTCAGGCGGCGCTCGCCTGAGTTTGTACTCTAAGCCAATCAGAAAGCCCGACTCTTCGCTTTCAACCAAGCCCGCTCCCGAGCGCCGGCGCCTTCGAGGACCCCCGGGCCAGCCTCGGGACCGCGGAGAGGGGACCCCCTGCACCCGGGTTTCGAGCTCGCGTTCCTGGACGCTCCGGGGGCCCAGCGTCCTGGGAAGCGCTCCGGAGGTCGGCTCCCCGCCCCAGCGCAGGTTTCCGTCCGAAACGGCCTGGCTGCGGAGCGCTGGGGAAAAACCAAACTCAGCTCAGTTACCTGGGAGAGCTGGGGCGGCCGGACGCGGCTTCGGGAGCTTCAGTCTTGAGGGTTCCAGGGCGCGCCCGGTGGGCCGAGGCACCTCTTTCTCATCCACCCTGGCCCATCCGGCCCTTGTCTGTGCTCAGTCCTTACCAAACCAGAGAACACCTTCACTGTATCTCTTCTTTCTCTTTTACCACTTTGATAAAGGAAATTATTTGTTTATTTCAAACATTGAGTAGTATCATTCAACATTGGTTAACGAGTGAGTTCGCTCATTTCTTAACCCCAGGCTTCCTACATCCTACTGATCCTTAAAATTGCCTTCTCAAAGGGAAGCCAAGTGCATGGAAATGAGCTCAAGTTTTGTTTATTTTGTTTTTGTTTTTGTTTGTTTTTGTCTTTTGAGGCAGAGTCTCAAGCTATTACCCTGGGTAGAGTGCTGTAGCGTCATAGCTCACAACCACCTCCAATTCTTTTGCCCAAGCGATCCTCTTGCCTCAGTTTTTCTATTTTTAGTAGAGACGGTGGGTCTCGCTTTTGCTCCGGCTGGTCTCCAACTCGTGAGCTCAAGCAATCTACCTGCCTTGGCCTCCCAGACTGCTAGGATTGCAGGCATGAGCCACCGCACCAGGCCTGAGCTCAAGTTTTGAAGTGAAACACTCAGCTCCAGCTACCCGCCAGCTACGATCACATAGAGACCTCGGACCTTGGGACCTTCAAGGAGCAATTTTCCTGTCTATGATAATCACCTTGCTACTTTGTTTTGGAGATTAAATCAGATGCGTGAAGTACTTAGCACACTGGCTGGAACTTAAATGAGGAGTATTACTGATGATAAGACCTACAAAATTACCGAACTACTGGCTAACCAGGAAAAAGAGGGAGAAAGTACAACTAAACAAAAGACAGAATGGAAAACACCCAGGAGGGGGAAAAACTAAAATGCATTCAACAGTATTCTCTTTACTGTTTTATTTTGATGACTGAAAGCAGTGTTAAGAGGATGGGAGAGCATTACACTTTTAAAACTTTATAGACAGTTGACTATCTATCGTGTAAACAACCTGATGACTATTAAGCCTTATCTTTTTCTTCCTTAAACCCCTGGGCAGGCAGCACTAGACTTAAAGACTATCAGGAAACATTTGTTGAATGTAATTGAAATGGAAAGGTGGAAGGGGGCCTGAGGAAGCTAACATTTAGTGAGAGGCGCTCTTAACTCTTCTGTGAGTACACAGAGGTGGAGTCAGTTGCCTTAGGAAACATGCTGGTTAAGAGAGTCACTTGAGGCTCGGCGCCTATAGCTCAACCGGCTAAGGCGCCAGCCACGTACACCTAAGGTGGCGGGTTCGAATCCCCAGCCCGGACCAGCCAAACAACAATGACGGCTGCAACCAAAAAATAGCCGGGTGTTGTGGCGGGCACCTGTGGTCCCAGCTACTTGGGAGGCAGAGGCAGGAGACTCGCTTGAGCCCAGGAGTTGGAAGTTGCTGTGAGCTGTAATGCCATGGCACTCTACCCAGGGGGACAGCTTGAGGCTCTGTCTCAAAAAAAAAAAAAAAAGGAGAGTCACTTGAGTGCTCTCTGGTAGGGTTCTGGGTAGACAAACAATCCCAAAAGTAATACAGGTCTTTCCGTGGCCTTACAAAAGCTGCCACCCCCTATAATCCTTGGCCTCCAGAGGCCTCTCAAAAGTCTTCCTTTGAGATTTAACATTATTATATCCTCTGTGATGGATTGGGATGGTCCCAGCTAAGATCTACTGACCAGAAATGACACCAGGGAACCCAAAAGAGAACTCACCATGATGAGGAATGGAGCTATCTGGACTGAAACTTCAGAGTGCACAAAGCTTATAAGTAGACATCATCTCACAGATTTTTTTATTCAGAAGGTCTCAAGTGAACTTCAGGAATCTGCTTTTAGTGTAGTTTTTTTTTTTTTAGACACGGTTTCACTCTGTTACCCCAGGTAGAGTGCAATGACATCATTATAACTCAGTACAACCTCAGACTCCTGGGCTAAGTGATCCTTCTGCCTCAACTCCCTGAGTAGCTGGAACATGTGAAGGTGCCCAGCTATTTTTAGTACATACAGGTCTCACTCTTGCTCAGGCTGGTCTTGAACCCCAGAGCTCAAGCAATCCTCCTCCCTTGGCCTCCCAGAGTGCGAGGATTACAGGTGTGAGCCACAACTCCCAGCCTAAGGTAGATTTTTTAAAAGACTTTTAAAATTCACACATAGTAAAATTCACTCTTTGCAGAGTACAAGAACTATTTATTGAATGTGTACTGTGAGGCATTTAACTGTTATAAACAATGACAGCAAAAAAGTCCCTGCTCTCATGGAGCTTCATTCTAGTGGAGACAACAGAAGAAAATTAATGAGGAATTCCAGGTGACAATAAGTGCCATGAATAAAGTATAACAGGATAATGCCAAAGGAGAGAATAGTGATGGTTTAAATAGGGTGCCAAAGAAGTCCTCTCTAAGATGCTAACATTTGAGCTAAGACTTAAGTCATGAAAAAAGTGCAAAAAAAAAAGCTAGCCATGTTAAGATCTTGGAGAACCTTCCACTCTGAGAGAATGGCAAATGTAAACACCACAAGGTTAAAAAAATGAACATGTTGTGCACATACTCATTTATTTTTCCATCGAGTTAGTATGAGTGCCTACCATATGATAGGCACTGTCGTAGGTGCTTTGGGATTTACTAATTAACACTATAGACAAAAGGAAAAACAACACAAAAATCCATTCCTTTATTGAACTTTCGATCTAATACACTGTGAACTAGTACGAAGGCCAGAGTTGTTGGAATCTAGGGTAGAGGGGATAGTAATACAAGAAAATTTCGGGACATGGATAGGGAAAAGATCACATAAAACTCTGGTAGGCTCCGGTATTGGAGTTGTTATTTATTTAAAGTGCAATTTACGGCTTGGCACCCATAGCTCAGTGAGTAGGGCGCTGGCCACATACACCAAGGCCTGCCCAGGCCTGCTAAACAATGACAGCTATAACCAAAAAATAGCCAGATGTTGTAGCGGACACCTGTAGTACCAGCTACTCGGAAGACTGAGACAAGAGAATCACTTAAAACCCAGGAGTTGGAGGTTGCTGTGAGCTGTGACGCTATGGCACTCTCTAAGGGTGACACAGTGAGACTCTGTCTCAAAAAATAAATAAACAAACAAACAAACAACGTGCAATTTAAAAGTAAGATTTTTAGGCTGGGCACAAGTGGCTAATGCTTGTAATCTTAGCACTCTTGGGAGGCCTAGATGAGGCGGGAGGATCGCTTGAGCTCAGGAGTTGCAAACTAACCTGTCTCTACTAAAAATAGAAAAAAGTAGCCAGGCATTGTGGCACACCTTTTGTCCTAGCTACTTGGGAAACTGAAGCAGGAGGATCACTTGAGCCCAGGAATGTGAGGTTGCTGTGAGCTAGGCTGCCGCCATAGCACTCCAGCTAGGGCAACAGGGTAAGACTCTGTCTCCAAAAATAAATTTTTCTTAAAAAATGAAGTTTTGGGCTCGGCACCTGTGGCTCAAGTGGCTAAGGCGCCAGCCACGTACACCTGAGCTGGCGGGTTCAAATCCAGCCCTGGCTTGCCAAACAACAATGACGGCTGCAACCAAAAAATAGCCGGGTGTTATGGCAGGCACCTGTGGTCCCAGCTACTTGGGAGGCTGAGGCAGGAGACTTGCTTGAGCTCAGGAGTGGGAGGTTGCTGTGGCTGTGAGCTCAGATGCCACGGCACTCTACCCAGGGCGACAGCTTGAGGCTCTGTCTCAAAAAAAAAAAAAAAAAGGAAGTTTTAAGTAAGGGAATAACATAATTTTTTTTCTTTTCTTTTTTTTTTAAGACAGGAGCCTCAAGCTGTCCCCCTGGGTAGAGTGCCGTGGCATCTGAGCTCACAGCAACCTCCCACTCCTGAGCTCAAGCAAGTCTCCTGCCTCAGCCTCCCAAGTAGCTGGGACCACAGGCGCCTGCCACAGTGCCCAGCTATTTTTTGGTTGCAGCCGGCGGGCCGGGCCAGATTTGAACCCGCCACGTTGGGTGTACGTGGCTGGCGCCTTAGCCACTTGAGCCACAGGCGCCAAGCCAATTTTTTTTCTTTTAAGATAACTTCGACCACTTTCGGATCCTTATTTTATTGGGGAAGGAAGCAAGAAATGAAAGACGAGGAGTCTGTCAACATGCTCTAACCAGACAGTGACTGTGGTCTTGACTAAAACAGGAATAGTGTAAACAAGGAGAAGTATGTGGACACCAGATGTATTCTGGAGATAAAGTCACACAGCTTGCAAATGGATAAGAACAGGTTGATTGCTGGTAATGAACCACAAGGGAGTGGGTTGCGGCAAGTAA